GTGTTGGTTGCCCCTAAGCATAACCTCCCCTGCTGGCCCCTCGTGGACATGAGCCAGGATAACTCTCTCAAAAAGCTTACCCAGGACCAAGGCAAGACTGACTGGCCTACAGTATCCTGGGTCCTCCTTCCTCCCTTTTTTGAAAATGGGAACCACATTGACCCTTTTCCAGTCCTCTGGCACCTCACCAGAGCACCATGAGTGCTTGTAAAGCTGTGCCAGGGGTCCCGCGACGACCTCTGCTCATTCCCTCAGCGCTCTGGGGTGGGGGCCGTCAGGACCAGCTGATTTAAATACGTCCAGTCGCTCCAGAAGTTCCCTGACTAGGTCCTCACTGACCCTAGGACTGGGTGCGCCTCCCCTTGGTCCTATGGGGGTCCTGGTGTGGGGGGTGACCTGGTCCCTGCTCAGAAAAATGGAGGCAAAGAAATTGTTAAATAGGTTATCTTTGCTGTCTGGTGCGACGACCAGATTTCCTAGCGTGTCTTGCAGAGGCCCCACGTTACCGGGTACCTTCTTTTTACCCCCTATGTATTTAAAAAAGGACTTCTTGCTGTCCTTGAACCGGGTAGCTAGTCCCAGTTCCATCTCCGCCTTGGCCTTCCTGACCGCCCTCTTGCAGTCCCGAGCAACCAAGGTGTAGTCCTCCCTGGTGGTGGCCCCTCCCTTCCATTGGGTATACGCCTCCTTTTTAGCCAGGAGATGTTCCCGTATGCTTTCAGTGAGCCATGGGGGCTTTTGCGCCCTCTTGCCCGCTTTGATCCCTGTTGGGATTACCTCCCTTTGGGCATGGAGGATCGTCTCCTTAAGGAACGACCACTCTTCTTGGACACTTGACTCCCCTCCCCTCTGGGATCTCAGTACCACCCTGACTACTCTCCTCACCTCATTGAAGTCCACCCTCCTGAAGTCCAGGGCTTCTGCCTTACTGCAGGCCTTTGCCACCTTGCGCTGGACGGTGAATTCCAGCAGGCGATGATTGCTTTCACCCAGGTGGTCGAGCACCCGCAGCACCCTCACCAGGTTGTCGCCTGTGGCCAGGACCAGGTCCAACAAGGAATCTCCCCTGGTAGGGCTGTGCACCTCCTGGGTTAGATGGAGGTCCTGTATCTCGGTTAGGAACCTATGTGAGTGGTCAGACCTGGCTGACTGCTGTTCCCAGCAGATGTCTGGAAAGTTCAGGTCACCCATGACGACCACGTCTTTTGACCTAACTACCTCCGCGAGCTGACTTAAGAATTCCCGGTCTAGCTCTTCCCCTTGGTTGGGTGGTCTATAGTAGACCCGCACCGTTAAGTCCCTTTCTCCTCGACTTCCTTGAATTCTAACCCAGAGCACTTCAGTGTGCCCCTCCTCTGACCCCGTGTTACTTGTTGAGGATGTGTATTTCTCCTTGATGCACACCACTACACCCTCACCCTTCCTCACTGTCCTATGCCTCCTGCACAGCCTATAGCCCTTGATATTCACTGTCCAGTCATGTGTTGGGTCCCACCACTATGTCTGGGTTGGTGTCAGCTAGCAGGAGGGTAAGTTCCTCCTGCTTGTTCCCCAAACTACGAGCATTTATGTAGAGGCATTTGAGGCCTCCTGAAGATGCATGCACTGGCCCCCTAATCTCAGTACTACCCGAGCCCCTGTTGCTTACCTGGGTATTTGTTCTGCTCATAGTCGGTCTAGGCTGGGCTGTTCTTGTGGGTGACGCTTTGTTTAGTGGTCCAAGGCTTTCTCCACCCTCGTCTTTCCCTTCCCCTGATGAGCCTAGTTAAAAGCCAGCCAGAGGAGATCCACCAGCCTAGAAGAGAACACACGCTTACCTTTGGGGGAAAGGTGAAGCCCATCCCACCCGAGCATGTCTCTCGTCCTGATGTATCGGTCATTGTCTAGAAAGCCGAAGCCCGCCTCGAGACACCATTCCTGAAGCCACATGATCACCTCTTGGCAAAACTGACCAACTGCGGCCTCGGGTCCTCCATGATCCGCTGGCTGGGGAATTGGCTCCATGGTTGGACCCAGAGGGTGGTAATAGATGGAAGTCAATCATTGTGGTGCCTTGTGACCAGTGGATTCCCCCAAGGCTCTGTCCTTGGACCTATATTGTTCAACATCTTCATTAATGATGTGGACATTGGAATCAGAAGTGGACTGGCCAACTTCGCCGATGATACCAAACTCTGGGGTAAAGCATCCACACCTGAGTAGAGGAAGGTGATCCAGGTTGACCTGGACAGGCTCAGCAAATGGGTGGATGAGAACCTGATGGTGTTTAACACCCAAAAATGCAAGGTTCTCCACCTTGGGAGGAAAAACCTGCAGCATCCTTATAGGTTTGGCAGCACTATGTTGGTTAGCACTACGGATGAAAGGCACTTGGGGGTCATGATTGACCACAAAATGAATATGAGCCTTCAATGTGATGCTGCAGCTAGTAAAGTGAGCAAAATGCTAGCTTGCATCCATAGATGCTTCTCAAGCAAATCCCAGGACATCATTCTCCTGTTGTACTCGGCCTTGGTGAGGCCACAGCTGGAGTACTGCATCCAGTTTTGGGCTCCATAATTCAAAAAGGATGTGGAGAAGCTTGAGAGAGTCCAGAGAAGAGCCACACGCATGATCAGAGGTCAGGAAAACAGACCTTACGATGACAGGCCGAGAGCTATGGGACTATTCAGCCTGGAAAAGCGCAGGCTCAGGGGTGATCTGATGGCCACCTATAAGTTTATCGGGGGTGTTCACCAGGATCTGGGGGAACGATTGTTCACCTGAGCACCCCAAAGGATGACAAGGTCCAATGGTTATAAACTCCTGCAAGACCATTTCAGGCTGAACATAAGGAAGAATTTCTTTACTGTCCGAGCCGTCAAGGTCTGGAATAGCCTGCCACCGGAGGTGGTTCAAGCACCTACATTGAAAGCCTTCAAGAGAAATTTGGATGCTCATCTTGCTGGGATCCAATGACCCCAGCTGACTTCCTGCCCCTCGGGCAGGGGGCTGGACTTGGTGATCTTCTGAGGTCCCTTCCAGCCCTAATGTCTATGAAATCTATGAAATAAATACCCAAGTGGTCCAGAGAGAGGACAGGCCTAAAAAGTGTCTCCATTAACACAGGGGACCGGAAGGTAAAATGTTGCCAAGTCTTGGGATTATTTTTGCAAGTCTCCTGAGAGCTGTTGTTTCCTTTCAACCCCGAGGGCTGAAATCCTGTGTTTTCAATAGAATCTCAACTTTCATTAAACAATAGTTACTTGTCCCCATAGTTGTGGAGAAATACTGGCTCACAAATGAAATGGAAAAGTCATTATATATTTTAAAAACCTTGATTTATATGATAGCTATGACTAGTTGAATGCTTGAGTTTGGCATTACTGGTGGTGCACCTGTAACTTTCCGATAGTCTCACTCAAAGAGGAGTGATGTGGCACAGTTACCTACAGGCAGCAGAGGGTGGTGTTTAGCTTTCAGCTGTATTGAGCACTTACACATTTTTTCTTTTCAACTGTGTGTGCAACTGGCTGTAGCGTCTGAGCAGCTGCATCCTTCTAGATCCCTTGTGCAGGCAGACTGTGTGGGGCTCGGGTGACACGAGGGGTCAGACGAACCCACCAGCTGCAGCATGCTGTGGGTTCACAAACCACCTTTCAACATAGCTACATCGGCATTTGCAAAATGCCTCATGACAGGTGAGGGGGGCAATTTAGATTTTCTTAAAAGGTACATCTCAAAGGATTGATGGATGGGAAAAACCCCTTAGTTGGGAAAATGCTGATGGGGGATTTGATAAGACATCAAATACCTGATGGGCAGTTAAAGAAAGGATGGTGAGAGACTGTTGTCTGTAGCTGTAGACATCAGATGTAGAAGCACTGGTCTGGAATTGCAACAGTGGAAATTATGGTAGCATATAAGGAAGAAATTTCTCAATATGAGGGTGGCTAAGCATTGGGGCAGGCAACCTAGAGAGGTTATATAACCTTTCTTCTTGGACATTTTTAAAAGCAGGCTATACAGACACTTGACTGGGATGGTGTGGTCAGGGGTGATTCTGCCTGAATCAGGGGGGTGACTAGATGTGACCTCCTGAGGTGCCTTCCAGTCCTACAGATCTATTCCACACCCCACAGGAGTCAAAGTTTTGGCACTAATGTTGTCAAAAGGAAACAGGTCTTTTCACTTTCACAGGTGGCTGGACCAGAGGAACACTGAGCAGAAATGGAGACCTGTCAGGAGAGAAAGAGGCCAATTTTCCTGTATAGCTGGCAGCTAGTGTACTGTCTGCATGAGACTAACACAAGGGAGAGGGACCTCTTTTCTTAGTGCTCACCAGTCCAATCTTTTTTCAGAAGACCTACAGCCAGTGAGGCGAGGGCAGATTTGCATGAAGAGGCCATGCTTGGCTCTGGTGGCTTAAAGACTCAGGGGGGTCCTAGCTAGAGACCACTTTGCCTCCAGAAGCTGAGCTGGTCTGGATTCCTCACCATGGCCTGGGTCCCGCTCCTCCTTGCACTGCTCACATACTGCTCAGGTGAGGGATAGGCTTGTTCTCATGACTAAAGCAATAGGGCAAGGGTAGGTAAAATGAATGATCATAACTCACTGTCCTGAGAAGTGTGACTGTGGTGTTGCTTTCAGGGGTCTGGTTGCAGCCTGTGGTGACCCAGGAGCCCTTGGCATCATCAGTGTCCCCAGGGGAGACTGTCACTCTGTCCTGCAGCCTGAGCACCGGAGCCATCACCAGCAGCAACCATCCTTCCTGGTACCAGCAGAAACCTGGCTCTCCCCCTCGGTTGCTTATATACAGCAACAACAGCAGGCCCTCGGGGATCCCCACCCGGTTCTCTGGGTCCATATCTGGCCAGAAGGCCACTTTGACCATCACTGGGGTCCAAGCCGAAGATGAGGCCGACTACTACTGTTCTGTGTGGTGCAGCAATGGGAACATGTGTCATGGTGCTACACCTTGATGGGTAAGTGAAGCAAGAACCTCTCTTCCCCTCCCTCCCCCAGCCTGGGCTCTGGGCTGCCTGCACAGCTTGGCTCCTGCCTCAGCCCAATGAGTCGGTGTCTATTCCTCATTAGGAATTTCATCCCCTGTGCTGCTCACCCACTCCTGCTCCTCCAGCTCTCTGGGACAGGTCAGCAGCTCTGTGCCCACAAGAAGCACAGCACACGCGGCCCAGTGGCACTGCCCAGGCACCAGGGGGACTAGTTTCAGCTGCTGGTATATTAGCCATCCGCCAGTACTGGTGATAGAGCTGGGGGGTGCCAGAACAGGTACCTGCTGTGACCAAGCCTGGGGCTGTCCTGGCTGAGGCATGTATTGGCTGCTATGTCAAAATGCAGCCCCCCACTCCTCTTGTCCCTGTCCTGCATACCTCACCTCCATTTGCAATTTCTATTCATTCCCCCATGAGTGCTGTGCCCTCTGCTTGCAGCAGGATTTGGCTACTGGCAGGGAAGTGCCTGTGCCTGCCTGCCCTTGGGCATCCAATCGCAGCAGCACCAGGGGAAGACCAGGCGGGGGGTTGAGTGGAGGAGGCTCCTGGGCACTGCCCGTGCAAACACAGCTGAGCAGTTCTTCATTTCTCTCAGCTCTTCCAGTGCTGCCTGCGGCTGTTTCAATACCTCTCCTTGGCTGGCTGGCTGTGACTCTGACGGGTATCTCTGCTCAAGGATATTGCTGTTACCTCCATCCTAGTCCTTGCAGCTCAACCTTGCTTTATGGATCCAATGTCACTCTGGTGCTTATGACTCTTTGCTGCTCTTCTCTGCATCTGACTGGGGCCCCTCTGCACCTCCCACTGAGGCAACTGTGCCTGGGCACAGAGGCCTTCCTGCCACCTTTGGCTAAACCATGGCCATGCTGGCTTCTCACTTTAGGCTGCTCCAGTTGTTTCCCTTCGCTTCTCACCCCAAAGGCAGGGACCATCATGAGAAGGATCATTGTTTCAATCCTTCTCGTATCCCCCCACAATGGCACCCCTATGTTTCTCTTCCTCAGCAGCCAGAAGTCAAGGTGCCGAGGGCCTTCTCCTCTAACACTCAGCCCCTGGAGGAGTGACGGGAAGGTGCCCAGAGGGAGGCTCTGAGCCCTGAGATGTTCTGCACAGCTACTGAGAATAAAAGCTTGCCTTTATCTCATGGATAACATAACCTCTGTCACAATGCTGCTTGTATCACTAATATGAAACATCAACCAGGTCTAATGGCAACATTTGCTTTTCTGATGGCAAAACAGCCATTGTGAAGTGCACATCCATATCCAGGGTATTAGACAGGCAGGAACATGTGAGAATGGAGAATCCAAAGGGGCAGGGAGATGTTGAGAGCCGGTGCCCACAGCTCTGTTGAGCTCTCTGAGCAGGAAGAGACAGTGCATCTTGTCCACATTTAGCAATGAGGAATAAATACAGAATATAGACCAGACCTGATTCTCCTCTCAGTTAAGCCAGGCTAAATCTGGAGTGAATCTGTCAATGCCAAGGATTTACTTGATGTCTCTTCCATTGTACATAGTGGTGGAACTGCATTACATAAGTGGGAAAGAAGAAAAAAAGGCTGCATATTGGAAACCCCACATCTGTAAAAGGCCAGTTTGATGCCTTTCAGTTATGAAAGTCTCTTATCTGCCCTTGTGCTTAGTAGCAGAGCTGCACAGTTTGGGTATCTATACCCATGCAACAAAGTCAGTTTAACTTTAGTGCATTATTTAAAGTGCTTTAAAAATGTATACACATGCCATGGCTTCATGAGTTTCTTACCTTGATGTAGTTCTGCAGAGTAGGCAGCAGGGGGTGCCAGACACTGTATAATCTACTTGCATTGTTGGAAGTGAGTGGGTGAGTGAATGGTGTGTGCCATCTCCTTTGTAATAAAGAAAAATTAAAGGAACAGAATAAAAATAAACTTGGTCAATCATTTTATCATGTTCACAACACACTCTGTCAAGAAAGGGGAAGGAAGGAGGGAGAGCATGAGTGAGCGATGGAGGCAAAGGGTGCAGACGGCTTGCTCCCCACTCTGCCATCCCAGTGAGCACATCTGGAGCTGTGCTGGATAGGGTGGGGGGAAGGGGAAGCTCCTGATATGCAGGGCAAGAGCCCCCTCCCCCCCCCCAATGGTCTGGGAACCCCTAAGGACTTCTGCACCCCGTGATATAAGAGGGCTTCTCTGGTCCCGAATCTACTTCCGACAGCCAGAGCAAGAAGGGGGGTGGTCATACAGCGAGGAACAAGTGGCACACTGCAGCCCATAACGCATGGGTGGGCAAGCCCTATAGGCAAGGCTCTTTCCTGCCCTGCACCCCACCCCTCCTGATCACCCCCCAAAACAGGCCAGCCCTCTGAGACCCCCCGCAGCCAGCCCACCCACCACAACACCGGCAGGCTCACTCCCAGTTTCCCCTGCATCAAGGAATAGGGGCAGTGGGGAATACACCCACACTCCATTATCACTACACAACCACTGCACACCCCGCAAAAGAGGAAACCCCCAAGACCCCTGCAACCCTGCAAACCCCTGCTCATCAGACCACACCAGGTTCCCATGCAGAGTGGGGTCCAGTGGACAATATCCCCCCTACCAGAAGCCTCCAAAGCCCCCACAGGGTTCTGTGCATGCATGGGAGAAGTGGGTTAAACGCCTGTGCTCCCTTTCACAGTGAGGGGAAGAAACCCCGCATGAGACCACCTACAGTGATGGGAATGCTCAGCACCAGGCTATCTGCATTTGTGATGCCCTGGCTGACAACCTCCTCGCTACCTTGCAGATTGAGGGAGTGGAGTAGGGACATGGTGCTGTGTGTGCTGGTGCTCCCAGCTGCTCAGTGGCCCCACAGTTTTTTAAAAGTTATCTGAGACAGTTAATTTGTCAAATTTTAAAGTTTTAAAACTATTTTTTAAATAAAGTAAGAACTACCTATGCTGGCTGGCTGGGGCAGAGAACTGTCCCTTCTCCTGAACAACATAGAAAAAAATGACCTTTTGTGGGTGACCCTGAGCAAATAGTTGAGACCACCAACATAGTTGTAGTGGTGGCAGCAGTAGCATAGAGCATGGCACTGGCCTTGTTGAGATCTTGGGGAGGTGGGGGAGCAGCGTCCCTCCTACAATCCACATATTGCTTGGGGTCTATGGGGAGATCTCATGAGGGGTTTCCCCCCTTGCTCTGAAAGGGAGGGTGGACATTTAACCCACTTCCCCCAAGTATGCACAGGACCCTGGGGGAGAAGGGGCTTTTGGGGGTCTCCAGTGCTGGCAGGGACATGGAGCAGAGCCAAGGCAGAAGCCCCAGCCCTAGCTCTGGTCATAGCCCAAGCTCTGCCACTGGGAGCAGATATAGAAAAGTCAGCGGTTGGGCAGAGAAGCAGCATGGTGTGCACCATTGGAGCAGATGTGGGGGGCAGTTCCCTCCCCTACAATCCACATGCTGCTTGGGGTCTAGGGGGGCTTCAGAGGGCATTGTTGGGGATTTCCCCCCCCTCACTGTGATGAGGAATGCGCTGTTTAACCCACTTCCCCAAGTGTACACAGACCCCCCCGGGGGGGGGCTTTTGGGGGTCTCTGAGGTTTTGGGGGTGTGGGGACCCCCTCCCAGTGTGTCAGCTCACCCTCCTGTGATGGGTGGGAGGTGAATTCAGGCTGTGTGTGCATGTGTTGAGGGTGGGGTGTAACTGTGAACCCAGAGAGAACCCTGTCCTGTCTTCCATGTACTTTGCTTTAACTAGGTGCTAATGAGCAGCACTGCTGGCCAGTCTACCAGGACTGCCGCATTCAATCAACCCCATAAAGTGAAGAGCCACCTAGCACCTAACCATAAGTGGCTTTCTTGCTGCTTTCCAGCTGACAATCTGGTACAGATTTTTCCCCCTACTTTTAATGCAGGGGGAGGAGGGGGGAAGTGGAAACCTCAAGTATACAAGGTTGGGATGGGGAAAATATTTTGAAATACTCTTCCCTGCCTACAAATTGCAGCTTAGAAAGTGACAAGTCAGGAAACAATTGAGTGATTTCTCTCTCTCACGTCCCCCCACAAAGAGTGAGGCTGTTCAGGCATTTCTGTCTCTCTCTCTTCCCCACTCTCAAGGAAAAGGGAGAAGTCTGCCACCCCAGAAAGGTGATTTTAGTAAGTAGTCGACTGCAGTGGCCCTGAGGACCTCACAACGGGCCCAGGTTTGCTGGCAGCAAGGAACAGATGTGGGAGAGAGGGCTCTTCTCAGATGTGCGGCTTTGAGAGAGAGCTGGTGATTTTCAGCCAGAGACCCATTAATCTGGGGAGGGCTACTTGATTTGGGATCCCCATTCTGGACTTAGGCCCCTGTCCTCCTCATGGGGCCTAAGTCCAGGAAGAGGGTTTCTGTTGTCTGAACTGATTCCAGTGACATTTGTAAGAACTTGCTCCTTCGTGATTATCCTGGTACTTGTCTCAGCCACATACGATTAAATGTTATCTCCCCTCTGTCCCCACCTCACAGCCCCAGTGGGAGAATACAGAGGCTTCCCTCTGCCTCCAGAGCTGCTCTTCTATTTTACTTGGGCATGGCAGTGGAGTGGAAACAACAGAGAGAAATGAGAGCCCTTTCAGGCCTTTTTCATGAAGCAATAGAGCCTTGCTTCTGACAGCAGGTGTGTATAACATATTTTACCACCCTTATAAGCATAGTGGAGACTCAGCCAAGGAGCTAAGTATTACCTGAAGATGGAAACTGAACTCCTTTCACAGCCTTGGTTGTCCTTCCAACCCCTGGGTAAGCAGCAGTGAACTGGCTGCGTGGACCTTACTTTCATCTCGTACTAGTTTCCCAACCAGCAATTCTGGCCACATCAATGAATGGTCTTGAGTCTCTGCAAAAATTTGAGAGTCAACAGCAACAAAAAAGAAGTTGCTCTATCTCCTGTGAGGATAATGTGACTATTCAACAGGCCATTAATCCTTGGAGGAAAACAAGGTTTTCCTGTATGTGGCA